GTTAGTCCGTTGCTAATATAAAATAAAATTATAATAAAATTATAAAATATTTATTATTTAAAAAATTATTATTATAAAATAAAATGATAATAAAATGATCGCCGCACAATTTCGAAAGTCGATTAACACAAATTCTCATAACAAACCGTTATGCGAGTATATTAAAATTTAGGGGAAAAATACATCGGGTTACAAAAACAAGTAAACAAGTAAAAAATTGTCAAGGGGACAGAGTGCGTCGAGTTAGATCTTCTTGACTCTGGGCAGAGGTTCGTGCATAATGTTCCTTCTATTGGGCAGCCATGACTTCGGTAGCATCGGCTGCGGTACCGATTTACCCTGTTTCCGATTTTTGTTCCGTACGCTGCTCGACCGGCGACTCGTCTTCGTTGTTCTCTTCTTCTTTCCGTTCTTCTTCTTCTTCGATCGTGATTTTCTTGTCGTAACTTTGCGCTTCGCGCTGGTCACATTCGCATTGTCCGGATCGAATCTGCCCTCCGAAAATAAATCCTTTTTAACATTGGCGAAAGATTGTCTGACAACATCGGAATGACTTATTTAACAATGCAGGAATGAATAAGATAAGATTTATTACAGCAATTACTTCTGCGACTCTTTTGCATGAATTTTAAATCCTAACGAAAAGTTTACTTTACTCGATAGACTGTAATAAACATTGATTTTTAGGCGTTCTAGAGAAACTGTGTCGTTTATACAATATGGCTAGCATGGTAGTCAAAGTGTTAATGTCTGTATGAAAAATTAATATACCATAATTGAAAAGAATTTTTACATTGCTAAACGTGTTTGCGTTTATTTATATTATGTTATTATATATATTATATTATTATTATATACATTATATTATTATATTATATTATTTATGTATTATATATTATTATTTATATATTATATTATTATTATATTATTATTTATATTTCAGCAAGACAATGTTGCTATGTTGCCTGTGAAAAAATAAGAAAAATAAATAATTCATTCTTTTCATTTTTCTTATTTTTATTTCATACAGACATGCCTACAACCCGTTTTAAAAAATAAGGAAAATAAGAATTTCATTCTTTGTATTTTTCATATTTCTTCGTAAAGACCTCCAGCCCACTTTTACAAGTTATTTGAAAACACCCCGTATATTCCAGCAGAAGAACGTGTGCCTTATGAAAAAGTAAGAAAAATAAAAAGAATGAAATTTTTATCTTTATTTTTTATTTCCGAATAACGTATAAAAGCGGGCTGGAGGTGAGTCCTTATGAAAAAAGATAAGAAAAATAGAAAGAACGAAATTTTTATTTTTCTTATTTTTTCATACCTTTCATACCCTGTACCAGCAACATTGTCTTGCTGTTTGAATGAAGTTAATATTACAAAACGATACTACATTAAATTTTACGCTTTTTCGTTGAAAAGTTAGCAACAATAGATAAAAAGACAGCGATCCTTCTGAAAAGGAGTCTGCTTCTCTTCTTAAGGTTAAAATACAGCCTATGAAAAAAACCCGATAGAAAATATAGATTCAGGCAAAAAGCCACAAAAGTAAGTATTTGTCGTAAATAAATAAAACATCTGTAAAGAAAAGTCGACGAATGAAACGTTATGCTTGAGAAATAGCGCAGAGTACAATAAGAATGTGAATACTCTTGAGAAAAATTCAAGGGGACAGCGAATCTGGATGAACAGACACGATCGTCACCTAAATCTGTTGTTCTTCTTGGCTAGGATCCCAAAATCGAGTCCTCGGCGAAGGGCGACAGCCACCTGCCTCCGAAGTCCTTTGCCCACCGTAATGTCGTGCCTGCCGCTGATCTGCTCGATGATTTCCCGCTCGGAGAATCCTTGCGGCGGCTGCTCCGTCCTCAAGAGATCGTACACGAGGATCGACTTTCGCACCATCTCGATCCCGGTAGCTGCTCCTGGCTCGTTAACAGGTCGATCGGGCGGAAAATGCACCGGCACCGAGCATAACACACGTCAAAACGTGTCCAGATCTTATCAGCAATCAGAACTTGCCCGCTGTCGTGGTTCGCTTGGACGATTTCCATCGGAGGACTGGCTTCAGCTGGCTCGCTACCTTGTTTTCGTGCTACCGTACAGTGTGTCCGGTTCGAAGCGGAACGGCCGAGCAGATATTTCGATAAATAGGAGAGGGAACAGATCTTTCATTTTTCGAAAGTCGGCTTTCTTTCATTTGTTTTGGACCGCGGACGATTTGGCGACACGCAGCAGGTTTGGCGCGTCTATTTGAATTATTGGGTTGGCAACTAAGTAATTGCCGATTTGTTCAATGAAATAGAAAATTTTTTTTTACTTGGAACGAAGTTTAATCTGTAATGTATTTTCCATTTTGTTCGATGACCTTTTGCCATCTCTCTGACAACTTGACAATTCCACGCTCGTGAAAAGTCTGATCCTTTTCGGCCAAAAACTGAGTTCAGTGAGATTTTACAGCGTTGTCATTCAATGTTTTACCACGAAGGGAGTTGTCCAGGGATCGAAATAAGTGGTAATCCGATGGCGCGAGATCAGGGCTATATGGTGGGTGTAACATCAATTCCCAACCAATATCCATGAATTTTTGCCGAGTGGACAAAGACGTGTGCGGCCTAGCATTGTCCTGCTGGAAAATGACACCTTTACGATTGACCAATTCTGGACGCTTTTCCTTGATCGCTGCGTTCAATTTGTCCAGTTGCTAACATTCACGGATAATAAAAAATAACATAATAATAATAATAATAATAATAATTTTATAATATAACATTTACGGATATCATAAAAATGGAAGCGAGAGACATCTATAACACTAAAATCGGCAATTACTTAGTTGCCAATCCAATATAATATTTTTGCATAGCGTTATAGGACAGACTTTGTACACTTATTTATTCGAAGGTCAAAATTGAAGGTCAAAATCGCGGTCAAATTTTACACCGGACGCCTGTAAATCGTATCTTTTTGTACTCGAAACGGAGACTTTTTCAGAACACAGAGATACTTCGCTTTACAAAACGTGAACAAAATTTGTGTTCTTGTTGATAATGCGTTTTTCATTATAAGCAGACCAATTTTGATTGCACGTCTACAAATGATTGCATTTTTTATTGCAGCTCTTTACATTTATGTGAGACATTGATAAGATTTTGTTAACACATATTCGTCCGGCAATTTTCCTGCAGTCACTATTTTAAAACATTTATGATTTATTAATTATTAATTTAGTCTGCCAGGTGGATCGAATTTTGGTGTACGTTTTGTTGGTTTTAATGAGAATGAAAAGAATAAGAATCAATTTTATTTTCTGTAATATACAAATGAATTTTCGTCATGCGGACGAATATGTGTTAAAAATCATTGTTCATTATATTCTTCCATATTTACATGTCTCTATCTAAAATGATTGCAATTAGATTGTTGTTCAAACGAATAATTTGTTTATATATATACATACGTTATTGTGCACAAGTATTTGAGCTTTGGACACTAACAACATCGCCACAAAGCACGAAATAAGTAACCGTTTCAATTAAAACTTTCTAATAAAACAGTGTCCACAATTTTTATAAAAAAAATAGCAATAACAGCGAAATTATCGACTAGATTCCGTAAGTGTCCAAATATTAGGTCTACCGGAAAGTTCTGTCCGTTTTTGAATCGAAATATAACACGATTTTCATACATTTAATAATATTTATTGTAGAATATACTTTCCATCGTTACTTATGACTTCTTGCCAGCACGATGGCAACTTGTAAATTCCATTTTTTAAAAATGATTTATTTTTAGAGGCGAAGAACTCAACTAGTGCTTGGTTGACATCAGCTTCGGTTTTGAATTTTTTTCCTGTAAAAAGTTTTGCAAAGAGAGAAACAAGTGATAATCGGAGGGTGCTAGGTCTGGGGAGTATGGTGGATGCGACAGAATTTGCCAG